ATACGTCCCGCGCATGCAACCCTTCGTCCGTGGTTCTCCAAGTGCCGTCGCCGTTAAAGCACCGCGTGTCAGCAAAGGTTTTTCTGCCCTTTATTTATTTAATTGAACTACGAAACGCCATTTTCCACGAGCGCAATCCGAAACCTATACACCATCCTCTCCTCCCCCCCCCTCCCTCCCCTACCCTCATCTCACTCTTTCTCTCCGACTGTATCGCTCTCCATCCCTCTCCGCATCCTTTGCTGTCGAACTCGAGCAACGACAACGCGAGCGAAATTCCACCGAGGGAATTCCACCGAGAATCGAACGTCATTTCGTTCGGATACACGGAGATGCGGCTCATTGCACGGTAATTTCATTGCAACGGACGAGACCCCTCGTTGTACGTTCGTGGCCCCCGCCGAATTTGATTTATCGTGTAACGTACCTGTCTCGTGAGGACATAGATCCGCTCTTTGTTGCGTTTACAATTGCGGAACATCTATCAGTTTCCTAATATAATTGAGCGCATTATTAATTCATGTACAAGCCAATTTAAAAAAAAAAACAACAACTGTTTAATCGCAATTGAATATACATTATTCATCATAACATAAAATAAAATTTAATAAAGTTGATTGTAAAAGATGTTTGCAATTATCTATCTATCGCCTCTATTTTTAGTTTCTGTATAATAATTGTGTAATTTTTAATTATAGTTAATGTGATGTATACGTAATAATTCGGAACTAATTTTTTATTCATAAATAAAATAAATTTGATTAATTTATCAAGTTTCGAATTTCGAACAGCAATCATCAAAGTATTTTTAAATTGTTGATCACAGAGTTGCAGATAAATTCATGTAACAAACAGTTTTTCTCTCTTCTTTTTTTTTTTATCACTATATTACTGTTATGCACTTCGTTTTAATTTCTCGTTGCTTATAAATTTTAACTCTAGTGTTAAAGACATTACATATTACACACACACGTGTTACACACTATTAAGAATGAGTATAAAAATTTGAAGATGATGGCATCTCAACGTTTAGTATGCAATGCAAATGTTTACATATGGACATTTTACCAATAAAATGTCCATATAATTGCGATATATTACGTTAAACTACTGTATACAACGTAACAAGTAGAGTGACACGACATTCTTATTATTAGGAATCCATTGCAGTTGCGACGTGATAAAATTGGATCCTTGACAATTTTGCCCCAATTGCAAATCACTCGATCCGATCTATTAACCAACAGAGAACGAATGCTGTTAAAACAGACAATGTGTACCGAAATTATAACGCGTCATGCATTGTTATCGAGTGTCCTTCAATTATATGGTGAAAGCGGTTGTAGCATTGGAAGGATAGTGATGGAGACCTTTTCTACAACCGACTTTATTCAACAGCTGACTTTATCACTTTCACGATTGGGAAAATGTGAAAATACGAATTATTGAAATTATATGATTCTTCTAATGTAATTATATGATATTAAGATAAAGATATGTCGCCATTAAATTAGAATCTTTGAATCTTAGTAATTTATCTAAATTAATATCAAACTTTATAAGTTAATGGTTAACTGCATTACACTGAAAAAAAAGTAAATGTTTATTTGAATGATTTCAAGTATTAACTAAATTTAAACATACTTGTATATTTGTTTGATACAAAAACCATTAATTTGTGATTGAACTATCGTTTCTTTTTTTATTGAGTAAAAACATTTACTTAGTATTATTTAAAGATATATGTATTAAGATTTAATATTTTTTTCTATATACAGCATCGAGAAATCGCAAGAGATTGAAAGTAATACTATTGCATTTTTGCACTCTCTCTAGACATAATTTTATTTAATTTTATTTAGCATGCTGTGTGTATGCACTATGCAGTATTGAAATTAAAAATCCACTGCGTCTTTAATTTCCAAGACTGAAAAAATGAACGTCTTAAAAAGATTCAAGAATTCCAATTTCTAATATAGTACGTAATATAGTTTATGAAATAAGTTATTGTTGTATTTGACGCTTTATGCGTATATTCCGGATCCGAGAACTGAGGCGTGATCCTCATTGCTAAAAGTCGCACCGCTGTCATTGCCATTGTCGTCGTTCTCGTTGGGGGTAGTCGTCCGCTCGCTTTCTCATTCGTCTCGACGGAGACGCTCGATTATCGCATGCCCCACGACCCGACCAGCGCCATCAAACTCCCGAGCCGCCGAGATCGAAGATCCGCGGACGTTTCGGGCGGCCGTGCACGCCCGGCCGTAACGAGCCGGCGAACGCGAGCGAGCGAAGGTACGAGAGAGAGAGAGAGAGAGAGAGAGGGTGAGAGAAAGGGACAGGCGGACGCGTGTGCGCGTGTGGAAACGCTTGGAAGTCATTGGTGTCGATGCCGTTGTGAGCACCGAGAGAAACGAGAGAGAGAGAGAGAGGGTGTGTGAGTGTGCGTATCGGGGGTTGGGGGTGGTCGATACGGCCCTGGGGCCGCGACAGCCGCGTCGGAGGCCTCCCCATTCTTCCTGCAGGCGTTTTTGCCTCCGCCACGTTTCAGCCCTCTCCACACAACCCCTTTCCCTGACCGCGCCATCCTCCTTCCTCTCAGTTCTCTCTTATTCTCTATGCGTCGTCTCTCTCTCTCTTTTTCTCTGTGAATTTTTCTCTCTTCCCACTCTTGTCGCTCTTTCTCTCTCTCTCTCTCTCTCCCCCCTTTTCTCTTGCTTTCCTTGTCACTCTCTCAATCCATCCAGCCTGATCTGCCATCTCACCCTCCGATTCTCCACCCACGCAACGCGTTCCAGCCGCCACTGACACCCTCCCCTTCCCCCCGGTGCAACCTGCCTCTGTCCCCCAGTCCTCCTCCTCCTTCTATCCCCTCTGCCTCCCCGTTACTCCATCGCGGTGCCACTCTCACGCCGCCGGCAACCACGCAGACCCCGCCTAATCGTGCCACCCCCGGCTTGATTAAAGAACAGAGAGGCCCCGGCGCGCGAGGGTTCCTGCCGTTAGGTCTTCTCTCTTTCGCTCTCTCGTTTTCCCTTATTATGTCACTCTCACATTTCTTGCTTCTTCCGCGTCATCGTTCTTCTTCTCTTGGTCATCGTCCATAGGATCCTTCTGAGCAAGGCCCTTTATACAGGTCGACCACGTGGACGTCCTAACATTCCGAGAAGCCACGCGACTTGACGCGGTTACGCCACGCGGAGATGGCGTCCATCATCTTTCTTCTCCTCGTGACCTCACTTCCTCCTCGTTTCGCCGTTCATTCGTCTCTTAAACTTCCCTCTCCTCCCTCGCATCGAGATTTCAAGGTTACTTCGAGAGGTCGTACATATACAATTGCGAACTTGTAACGAACCTTCAGTCTTTTATACTTATTTTAAATATACATATTTAAACATACTTTTTTACCTTTTTCGATCAGTTCTATAATTAGAATTCGATTCTTTGTCTCGATAAAAGAATTGCCATTCTATTTTAAAAACTCTATTCACACACACACAATTATACATTCAAACTCGTATCAAAAAGGCTGTGTCTTGATTTGAAAATTAATCATGAATTTTAAGAAATCTTAGTGCAATGTTTATTTATATACTAAATAATCATATATTATAATACTATTTTATAAAATAACTCATTCTTGTTATAGTTTCGATAACACTCGATCGAATATTTACTCAACTTTAAATTTCTGACCTCCACAACCTACGCAAAAACATTTGCCTCCCAAATATATATATTTCCGACTAATTCGCACGCCTCGAGTTCATAAAAGCTGAAAGAGAACAAGCATCTTCTCGACGGCAGTTTTCTAAGAAGCGAATTTGGTCGTTGAGAAGCCGAAATCGTGCGGACGTCTCGGATTGATGTCATTGCAACGATCGCCGAAAGTGGATCGCCGGCGCTGATTTTCAGAAGCGACGTTTGGTGGGTGGACGACGAGCTCTCGCGCGAGAAATATGCAAATCCAATCGGACCGGACCCGCGCGGTCCGCCTCTCGCAAAGCGGTTTACCGAAATGAGTATTTTTCTATTCCGCGTCCGCGCCTTGATTCTCGAACGCGGCGTTTCCGCGCGCGTTTCCGTACACGGCCCACCTCGATTATACGATCCCGTTAATTAACGAATTAATTGCTCGCTCGTGGCGAACGTGTGGCGCGATTCCTCCACGCGGTAGAGAGTTAGACGCTAACTTACAAACGTCAATCTTTTAGGCTCTCGACGATCATTTCTGATACAAAAGCTCACGTAATAAATATAAATAAATAAACGCGTTGTTTAGACATTAACTAAGAATAAGATATCCTCTTTCAATTCTTTAGAGTAAAATTCCACTCTAAAGAATTTTTAATCCTTAAGGTCCGATTTTTCATCGTCTGATTATAACTTGTGGTTTAGACTTAACTTTTCGTAGCTTCATAAACATAAAAAATTGTATTTTTCTAAGCTATGATTAATCACTGAACTAATGGTTTTACAGTGTACGTGTGTATGTGTGTAATAACTATAAAAGTTTTTATAATAGTTTTAATACTTTATCCAAATTATGCAGATATTTGTAATTTTAGATGAGCCCTAGTAAAGCAACCTGAAATTTTCGATACTTTACTAAAAAACTACCTTAACGATAGTTAGAAAAAATATCACTTTTATATTATCATCAGTTAAGTCTAACCACGAGTTAATCAGAAAATGAAAAATCGAACTTATGAGTGAGATTCACTCTAAATGTTTCAGAGAATATATAATTTTAATGATTTAGATAATATTTTAATTAATTTTAAAGAAACATGTCTAATGGTTTCAAAAATTATGTTATTAATCTCTCTCTCTCACACACACATACACACACACACACACACACACACACACACACACACACAAAGTGCGTGTGTTCTTCGTTAATTTCTTAAATTACGTAGATAACGTTACTTTAATGCGACGTTACTTTGAAAGTTACACGCCAATTTAACTATCTATAATGTTTTCCCTTTCTTCCACAGTCGCTCTTGAAGACGGCCGACCAGCTAAAGATCAAGGGCCTGTGCGAGGTGCCGGAGAACAGGGACGGTCCGCCACCCGTGAGTCTGAGCTCGCCGCCGAGAGAGTCCGGCACCCCGAGGTTGAACTACACGAAGCTGAAGAAGCACCATCAGAGATACAAGAGACCCAGAATCGAGCGGCCCACATTCGAGCCGCGTCCTACCGATCCGAGACACTACGATCGCTACAAAGAGGAAGAGGCTAACGATTACAGCCGTGACAACAAAGAGGTAACTTTCATCGAGCTAACAGACACACTCTTTAAATCTGAATCAGTGGATAATCGTTGATATCCTAAAGATGCCATTCAGGACATCAGTGAATTCTCACAGTGAAATTCGACTAAAAAAAATTAATAAAACGTAAAATTCCTAACCAAGTCTCTAAACATCTAGAATAAATCTTACTCTTAAAGATTGAAAACTGAGTCACTCTTTTTCAAGATTAGCTCAATCTTCATTCTTTAGAGTGAGAATTCATTCTAAATAATTTAGAAAGTAGTTAACCTTACTTTTTGTGTAAATCCAATCTGTATGATATTATGATGTTAGAATTGACATACAAACATCGATATTGAAATTATATTATCCTCAAACTCCTTTTCTTTTCCAGTTGAATTTCACTTTTTCAGATGAATTTCACCACTTCTTATTGAAATTTAAAGAGCAACTAAGTTTTTCAATTCTCTGCAGCTACCAGTAGTGACAGTATTCAAATTATCAAGGCTTAATTCTAAATTTTATGAATATCGCAAAGAAGTTTGGCGCTTATAATTATTCCTCCGTCGTAACTATGTGAAATTTTTCACCTTACGTCAACAATTTGGATCTTTGTGCTTTAGCGCAGATTTTTATCAATTGTTTCAAACTGTATAAAAATCTGAAAAAATTCTTGCATACTTGCGAAAGCAACAATGAATTTTTAAAAGTCAAGTTGTATTTACTTTTACAAATTTAAATTTATCTAAAAACAAATAGATCACGATCAAAGGCATTAACTATGCCTTTAAAGTCCAACTTGATCGACGAAGGATTATTTATATATGATAGCAATTCTGAGATTTTTTAAAGGGGCTTTCTTAATTTAATTATGTAATCATATATTTATTATGATATTGTTCTGAGGTTTTTAGGAAATTTTCTTAAGTTAATTACTCGAGTAGCAGTAGATAAACGTCATTTATTAGAGCGTGATTTGATATTTAATTCTTGATAGAAGCTCTTATTCGAGCTCAATAAACATTGTTTTTAATTGTAAATTATGCTAATCATAAAAAATACGTTTATATTATGAAAGAATTATCACAGTAGATAGTCTATCTATTTTGAATTTAACAGTAGTGGAAAATTGATCTTGCAACGCGTTGAAAAGACGAAATGAGGCATAGATACAAACGCAATGGTTCTCCCGTGTTGGCGGGCGCGCGGTTCGATCTCGTCAGGGTCGACGCTAAATTCGTACCGGATATTCCACAGAACCATCGGGACTGGCAGGCTGAAGATGAAGAGTGCACGGAGACAGCAACAGCAGCAGTAGCATTGGAAACTTGCCAACGTAATAATAATAACAATAACAACAACAACGGTAACGGCACGAGTAACAACAGTAAGTAGATCTATCGAAATTTTTGCCCCACACCTGGATATATGTCGGACTTTATTTCTTTTTCTTTGTCTATTTTTCATGAAATGTAAATTTTGTAGAGCCTTTTTATTTTGATGAAAATTGTTAATTTTCAATTCATTAATTTTCTATTCATTTATTGAATTTTTTTTTAATAATATGTATCATATACATATATGTGTATACACTATGTGTCATATACACTGTGTGTGTGTGTGTGCATGTGTGTGTGCAACACGTACATTATACGTTTTAAAATAATGTATCTCGTAATATGTATGCATTACATTTTGCGTTTCAGTAAATAAATAACTTATGGTCAAAATCAAAAAAAAAAAAAAAAGACAAGAAGACACTTGCGTCGCGATTATTCGGAAGTTTCCAGGTGTGGGGCGATTTACTGTTTCCAAGATCGATTTGGACGGACCCCTTTCACGTCGAATAAAAAGGTGACATGTTCTGTCACACAGGGCTAGGGCATTATGGCCACCATCCGGATCCCGGAGAGGTCGATTTGCCCCCCGAGACTCAACCTACCCCACCCAGCGCCACCCTGGTCGGCACTACTATCACCCACTTGAGGGATCCGGATCATCATTCTACAGGTATAAAATTTTACGTTTCTCGAATACCGTTTCTTACCTCGAAAATAGCGATTCTCGGCGATGATTGCCGCAATTGTACATGAAAATAAAACGAAATAAAATAATTGTTTTTAATCCTTATAAATTCATAAGGATTCTTTTTTTAAATCGATTTTTGCTAATGAACAGTACAAAATGAAACTGGGCCAGATATAGTTACGAAACTAAGAGGACTTGGTTGCGAAAAGATATCATGAGATGCTTCTTCGTTATAAAAAAGATAATAAACGAGAGAACGATATGCATATTTTAAGAAGTATAAAGGACCCTTTTTTCAGCATGCAAATGCAATAAAAATATAATTTCCGAGATGATAACAATTCACAATACAATTTTAAGAGGATAACGTTTAGTAAGCATATGTGTGTAGGTCATCGAGAAATTTTTCGGAAAAGAATAAAAGGATTATAAAAGTAATTTGTTTAATTGTGTCAATTTTACTGCACTAACAAGTTAGCCTTTTAACGCGTTCCATGCCACGTGGATCATCAATGATCCCACGCTTGACTTTCCATTCAGACTGATTTGATGTTTCGACTATAAAAAAAAACGTAATTATAAAATGATTCTTTATCATACGTGGATTCATAATTATGATACATGATGCAATCTGGTACATTAGATTCATAATATATGATACAGTACATGGTGTACATTACATCACATCTTCTTTACAATAATTTTTGTAATTTTTTAAATTATTATGAAATACATGTTATTTAACAAATGTAGCAAAAAAATATTGTGGATCATCAACGTGATAGTCAAACTTATTCACTGGCATGAAACGTGTTAAATTAAAAATATTTCTCCGCAAGATTTCTTATTGGCTTTGCGCGACTTAGAACTTTCGCGAAGGCTATATACTTCAATGACCAAATATATCCAATTTTAATAGTATATATTATATGATCATCGAGTCTTGTTTGGCCCAATCGCGTGATAGAAGTTTCCCGTTTACTCGGTCCATTCAACGTCGTACATTTCCCTCGGACGTGAGGGCGCGGCGAGGGGTAGAACACTACCGGGTTGAAAGTACAGCCGGTCATTAGGCGGACAGGGAATCAAAATAATTGGCCTAATCACGCTTAACTGGTCGCGATTAGATTTGCGTTGCTCGGTCCGTAGCAGCAGCCCACGCAACCTCATTTAGCGTCCTTCCGCGTCCAGTTTCGCCTTCGACAGCGCTCGCTTATCGATCCTCAGGTACCATCGAGGCTTACCGAGTAACTTTCGTGAGTCCCACGGCGAAGATATACGTATACCGTCGCGAAAGTTGTTACCGAGTTTCCTCGGTGCAAAGCGCCAACAGCAGCATCGTGTCATGCCTGTTTCCCGCGATCTGTTCGCAGAGATTCAAAATTGCGACAGCGTCAAGATCAAGTTCGAAACGCTGCACACGATGGACTCCTCGGACACGATCGATATAGATAGCCACATGTCGGATCGGGCGAGCGTAAGCTCGAAAAACGCCGCCGACAGCGACAACATGATGATGATAACACCGGAGCTGTTGGGACTGATGCCATCGGGAAGCTCCGGTCAGTCAGACTCGGGTGAGAATAATTCGAGGGGGCACAGTGGACAGTCCAGCTCGCACCATCACGGTTCAAAGTCATGGACGCAGGAGGACATGGACGCGGCTTTAGAAGCGCTGAGGAATCACAACATGAGCCTGACAAAAGCTTCGGGTAAGAAAAAAGATATAATATATTCCGAATTATTTTGGATAAGAAATTATTGGAAATTTTACTCTTAATTGAAAGTTCAGTTTTTCCTATACATATATGTCCAATATACATATATGTAGAGCTAAAATTTCTGTGGGTAATGGTCGTTGGCTATTGATTGCATTAGCCAATGTAATTTAACGTGTAATTATATGCATAATGACTTGTATAAAGCTAAAAAAATTACACAAGTAGATAGGAGATCTAATTTAAAATATATAGCTCGAATGTAATAATACGAATGATATCATACATGAAATAATTAAATGTGAAATTTTATTAATATTTCAGCAACATTCGGTATTCCCTCAACGACATTATGGCAACGGGCGCATCGATTGGGCATCGATACACCGAAGAAAGACGGCCCTACGAAATCCTGGAGCGACGAGAGTTTGAACAATGCCTTAGAAGCGTTGCGTACCGGTTCCATTTCGGCTAACAAAGCGTCCAAAGCATATGGCATACCTTCTAGCACGTTGTATAAAATCGCCAGGAGAGAAGGTATCAGATTGGCCGCACCGTTCAACGCGAGTCCCACTACCTGGACACCCTCCGATCTGGATCGCGCTTTAGAAGCAATAAGATCTGGTCAGACGTCCGTACAGAGAGCGTCAACCGAATTCGGTATACCTACGGGAACTCTTTACGGAAGATGCAAGCGGGAAGGAATCGAGCTTAGTAGAAGCAATCCTACGCCATGGAGCGAAGATGCTATGACTGAAGCTCTCGAGGCCGTCAGGTATCGACAAATAACTCTTCTTCTCTATCTTGACTCTCTATGTTCAATAAAATATTAGATAGATCGATATATTATACTTCAATGATTCAACATGAGAAAACGTTAATAATTAGTGTGGATTAAATTAAATTTATTTTGTATATTTTATTTATTGTATATATATATATATCTTGAAAACTTAAAATATTTACAAAAGATTCTAGTTTCTTTGCAAAATTTTAATTTTTTATAGAGCACAATGTAATAAATCTTTATTTATTGTACAATATATACCTTGGAAATTTAAGATGTTTGTAAAAGATTTTTAATTCTTTTGTGAAGTTTCGATTTTATCGAACACAGAATGGCTGAAACTTGTATGATTGATGCAAATTTCTAATTCAAACTAAATATTTACGTTGCTCTTGAATTTACTGTTACAGGTTAGGACACATGAGCATAAATCAAGCGGCAATCCATTATAATCTGCCGTATTCGTCACTATACGGACGCTTCAAGAGGGGCAAATACGAGGAACCCGTCGTCGGTGATATCTCGCAGGATGGCACCAGTCCACATTTCCATCAGAGCCCTAACCAGAATCACTCATCCGCCCTTCCAGATCAAATGCCTTATCCGGGCAGTTGAAACTTACCTCTTTACTAGAGTATTAAGTTAACTTGCTCCGAACTTTTCAATTCGCGGCAGCTCCTCAAACAAACAACTCTTTAAGCAAACACGCGCGGGCGGCATTCTGAAAGATTAGATACCGATCGAAAAGAGAATGTCATTACGAAAACACACATCTATGATAGCGAAAAACGAAGATTTACCCGCAGTATTAAAAATGGATCGCCGTAAGCAAGCATGTGTGTACATTGTATGATTTTTTTATCGTCGGAACAAGAAACGTAGATTATACTAATTTATAAGAGTTATTATTTATAAAAAGAGCACACTGTACAGAGATCGAGGGGGGTGCCCCAACGAAAACTACTTTTAGCACGTAAGTCACCTATGAAGCGTTAGATGAGGATATTGCAACGGATGACAGTATGTATTCTTGTTAAGCGAAAGTCATACAAAAAGAGTAATACTATTCGTCAATTGACAGTAGGAGGTTATAACATTAATTTTCTGAAGACTTTAAATTCCAATCTCACGTTTTCCATCATTATTAAATGTTACATTAGATTTCACAAATGAATTCTCGAAATAGTGGTTTTTTTTTTTAATGATTTCGCATAATAAGGATACATTCGTGAACGTGTGTCGATAGGGATGAGAGCGTATATATTATTTAGTAGTATCTACAAAATTTGAATACATAATGAGAAAAGTGACATTTGTTATAATATGCGAATGGCTGAAACGAAATGATATAAGAAAAAAAATTTATTGCAATTTAAAGGATATACGATTCTATTTTCTTGACGAGTTGTGTCTCCATGTTTTATTTCACATGAAATTAGCAAGCGTATTTTTTTTATTTATGTTGAGCAAAATTAATTAAAGCGAGCCAGTAGCTTGAAAACAGAAACAACTCGTGTCTATTCGTAGAATATGGCTATTGTAATTCGACGGTATTGTGACATGAAGAGTTTCATGAGAACTTATGCGCTAATAATTTAAAATATAATGGACTGATAATGATTAAGGTCTTTAATTTTTGTGTTATCATTTTCCGTTTCATTTATTCTATTGACGAAAGAGGGATAAAAAAAAAGAGATGAGTTTTCCATGATGGATAAGATGGTAAATATTTACGGAATAGATAGATACGGCTTTTAACAGTTTCTTAGAAAAATTTAAGATTCCCTCAGCTCAACTGCCACTTATTATATAAATATGTTACACACATTATTAATTTATCATGTTCACATTAATTACATTACATAAAAATATACATATAGATATATGCTACTTATAAATATATAAATATATATATATGTACAGTTTATATATATTTTAAATTAAAAAGTAATGCAATCAAAAAAGCGTTCGATTCATATAAATCTAAGATTCCTTTTTTTTCTTTTTCTATTAGATAGACAAATCACTTTTTTATAATTCCTAGATTCGGTTTTTTTCATTTTCTGATTTGTGATTAGATTTGAATTTGAAAATAAATATGTATTTTTTTTTAAGCTATAATTAATAACTGGTTTTACAAGTTTAGTTTTAAAAGTTTAATATAAAACCATCAATTTAGTGATTAACGATAGTTAAAGAAAAATATAATTGTTTTTTTATATTATCGTCAGGTTCTAACTACAAGTCTAACTACAAGTTAATCAGAAAATGAAAATTGCGTTTTAAAGATTTTATTCAATAACTGTGAGAATAAAAATATTTAATAACAGTTTGCTAAACATTACATGTTCATTATAAAATAATGTTACATAATTTTGGGTACTGAATATATTATTTTAAAATAAATGCGTTTTATAAATCAGAAAATATCAATTTTTACTAAAAAATTCCAGTTATCTTAGTTGTATCAGCAAAGTATTTTCGTATTATCATAACTTTTTTTGATAAATGAGTTCGTTCTTGAAGTGTTTTGTTACAAACAAATATTTCCATCGTGTACCTTCCGGATAAGACCATCGCATAATGCACTTGTTCTTAAGCTGAGTTGAAAATCCTGGACGGTTAGGCAGTAGGTAAGCAGCGTTTCTAATAAATACAGGATCTTCAAAGTATCCGTGCTGTTGACTTTTGTACTCTATCTTAATATCCGTGAATTCACTTAAGCAAATAAAATTCCATATTTGGAGATGTTGAATCATCTCGCCCGAGCCAACTTCACCAGCATGCCCCCACACTGGTACTATAAATAAAATAAATTCGCATTTCGTTTCGCTAAGCAAAAGATTACTCTGAATGATGAAAATCTAAGAATATGATTATCACAAATTTACTTGAATGCTTTTTTGCCATAAAGTATACGGCTAAGGCTTCATTAATTCCACCGAGCCTGCCTACATTAATGTTCCAAAAATCGACCCCGTCAAATTTCAAGAATTGCTTGAATAGGACGCGATTTGCGCACGTTTCACCGCAACTCACTCGCACTGGGTACTTCAACTCTTTTAGTGCAGCTCGTATCGCAACGTGTCCCAGGACATCGTCGGGAGATGTCGGTTCTTCTATGAAATAGGGACGCGTTTTATTGAAACTTTTCACGGAAAATATTGCTTCGTCCCTGTCCCAGAATTGATTCGCGTCCACTATCAATATCTTGTCACTACGCTTGCCTATCACATTTCGTATGAGATTACACTTCTTCCAGCTCACGGGGATGGTCGGGCCTACATATATTTTATACTCTTTAAATTCTAGTTTCTTAAATTTTTTGCAAGCACTTCTAATTTGTTGATTATTGAAAGACCATCCGATGTCGGCCGTATACGCTGGATGTCCTTTACTTTCTAATATCTTCTTCCTTTCCTCTTTACGCGATTGGCCTTTCTTGAGCATTTCTATCGCTTCCTCCTCGGTCACTACATCTCTACTATAATAAAAATATATAAAAAAATATATTAAAAATTTCGAATATTTAATATAACAATTTAATATAAAATATTAGTATTCGAATGTGTGTGTATGTGTATAATTTTTAATACAATTGTGACATAAACAACGTCACATAACAGGTTTTAGTTTACATATATCTAAAATCCACAGTGGAAACGAGTTGTTCGGGTGTCATATCCATCAACAACTTCCAGACGGGTTTATCCTCAATACGTGCCCATAGATCCCACAAAGCATTCACGATAGCTGCTGTAGCTAAGTGTACCACGCCGCATTCCGCTCCTAGCTAAAATATAAATAAATCATACCTTGAATCATTATATATTAATTAATATAATTGATAGATACATGATTTGTTTTATTTTATATATATATATTACCCATCGAAGTTCCACGTCGGTTGTTAACTGTTTCCAAAATGATGCAAAATTTGAATAGATTTCTGTAGTCATTCGTTTTTTTACGAATCTGAACAGAAGCTTGCATGTTTGCACCACTATAAAATTTATTATCAATAATAAATATCATCAATCATATAATAAAAACGAAAGAGAGAGAGAGAGAGAGAGAGAGAGAGAGAGAGAGAGAGAGAGAAGCATTGTTAGTACGTACCAAATTCATTTCCTCTTCCCAAAGTAGTTGCAATGCCGTATCCTTTATATTTCGTGTTAGTATGGATTATTACATACGTGCAGGCATGATTGGGATTCGTATGCTGTTAAAAGTCGATTATGTTAAACACAAGCTTCTCGATAATTCGAAAATAAAAAACAACATAAATATTTTATTATGAAAATTAATATATTGCAATACATACCAATGAATCATTTCCAATCTGCCACATTGATGTTGGAAATCTTACATCGTGCACTTCGATATCAACGATTTCCGCTTCTATCATCTTTCTATATCACTCAACAACACGATATTCACAAACTGACGATAATGACAATGTTTCTGACTAAATAATGTTCTCCAGAAACGACCTCTTTCAAAATATACATATAAGAAGATTTTTTGTATGGCGTGAAATGAATATTTATGTTTACTTATAACGATTCGAATCAAGAATTAGTTACCAATTACGTTAAAATCGATCTTACAGATTATTCAAACATTTATAAAATATTTTTACTTTGAATTTTGTATATTATTATTTTTTGCTTTCTATAAATATCTAAATATACAAGGATAATTTTCATACAGAATTTTCTCGTTATTAAATGTATATTTAATGTATATAATTTGATGTTTAATGTATAATTGATGTTTGATGTATAATTTATTATATAACTATTTATGATTTTAAAATGCTAGTTTTCGATTAGAATTTCAGAATCACTACGTAGCAAGTCAGGCTCATCCTCTATAAATTACCGATATTATCATCGTGATATTTCATTGTTCGCATTATTTTTAGACTTATTGTTGTAATGCTTACAATTAGTTTTGTTTATAGGCCATATCAATTCAAATTCGTAAGCGATATATTTGAATCATTTCTTCGCCATCTATTAATATCTTCATTAAAAGTTATAAATGTTACATAATTAATACTCGAAGTCATTTACGCGATAATATGATATAATGGTATTATAAAAAATTGCAACATCGTCATCAAATTGTTTATTATAAAGAGTAACGTTTGTCAATGCTAATAACTAACGATTTTTCGAATGATTAATCCTCCATGAACTGACGTGGGTCAAATTTCAAGGTAGGTATCATTGCGACAGATTTTGCTACATAAAAAAAAATATCAAAGTTTAAAAACGTTTAAAATACAAAGTAGAAATGTAACACAATAAAAAATTGTTTTTCCGATATTTCACAACTAATTTAATCTATCAGAAGAAATGTGGTACGTAAATGATTCACGAACGTGGATGCGTGAAAAAACAGCGATTCGACGTATTTGCTAATCCTGCATTAACTAATTAAACGCTAAAATTGTGCTAAAATTAGAAAAGTTACTTTGAAAAGTAATTTGTTACTATTACGCGTTACTTACTCAAAAAAGTAATAAGTAACGTCACTCGTTACAAGTAAAACGTAACGCGTTACAAATTAGAAGTTATTTTTCTCAGTAACCAATAACTTTTTCAACCCATTACAAGAAACGGTTGACTTTTCTAACTCTGATGTTAGCATTACCGTCATATAAAAAATTCACAATATCATTATCAAAACGTTATTACAAGGTAACGACGTTCCAAGTAACGCATTACTTTCCAACTCTGGTTATTAGGAATATATCAG